AGTTAGACCCAATATTCCTAACACGTACACTTGCACAATTTTTATTTGTTTTCTCAAATATCATAGCGAATCATTATCATCTAAAAGCATAACTATCGAAGAAGATAATATATTTTCCATTTATATATTGTCTTCAATAGGTACTCTTCTTGAAGTACGATGACATGAAAGAAAACCCTACTGTCAATCTTAGATGCATTGCTGAGTTCTTGGGGTGTCCATTTTCCAATGAGGAAGAAGAATCAGGAATGGTCGAAGAGATCTTACAGCTGTGTAGCTTTGGTAATTTGAGCAATCTGGAAATCAACAGGTCTGGGAAGTTGTCATCTGGTGAGGATAACGAAGCATTCTTCCGTCAAGGCAAGGTTGGAGATTGGAAGAATCATCTAACCATTGAGATGGTAGAGAAGTTGGATCAAATTACCGAACAAAAACTTAGTGGATCTGGATTGGTACTATAAAAAGGCAAATTTGGTATTGTTTTCACTTGTTTTTCTTGATTAATAATGTCCAATAAGTCTTGTTCAGTTCATTTTACAAAATATTACGTAAGTCTAAATGAGTTAAGTATAATATTGTGAAACAAATTTGTGTATTTCTACTGGCAAGATTGTGCTCCAATCAAATATTAAACTTATCTTGGTTTCTTGTTTCTACTGTCTGAGGATAATTAAGTTAAATCAAATATGCTTCCAATCAAATATTGAACAAATTTAGTTTCACGAAAACTAAAAACATTCTCCCCGATGAGAAAAAATCCCATCAAATTTCAAGTAATGATGGGGTGCAAAATAAATGTGTTGAGAATTTACTTAATCATGCACAGCAGAAATAAAACAATTTTCAATTCCCACTAAAGATCTACATTGTATTTAGATAGAAATTGTGATAAGAATTACACCTTTGATGAATTCCAAAACTTCTTTGCTTTTCTTGAACTCGAATAATTACGATCTATAATTCAATCTGTCCAATTGTTCAGCCTCCAATTGTGATCCACACAGAGAACGAGAATGATGATTAAGATTTTCTTTTCTTGTGCTAGTAAGAATAATGAATAATTTCTACAGTTTTCAAACTCTAGTAGCCTATTAATATAAATCCAAGCGG